TATATGAATTGAAAGCTAAATTTTTTGACTATTTTGAAAAATCCTTTGAGATAGGGCCAAGAATGAGGGAGGTCTTATTGGTCTCCATCTCCCGATACGCTCTCACCTGTGTTCGACCTTTCAGACATTTCAACATCTTTTTCTGAATCCAACATTGTAGCATGGCATAGATAATTCAGGTTTGCAGTCTGAAGAACCCCTGCTTGCTTCTGATGATTTCCTTTAGCTAACCAATGAGTGTTTGCGTTATATGACTCATCCAATACCAAAGGTTTTTACTAGATGTGGATGGCGCTCATGACGTGAAATAAATATAAACATCAAACCGAAGCCAAGAGTAACAAGTAACGTTTGTTTTTAAAATGTAAGGAATAGAAAGTACAGATACTTGTGTAAAAATGTAAAAAGTAGAAGTCAAAAGTAGGAAGAAAAATAAAGTATAGATACCTAACAAGTGTACTTAAGTACAGTAACAAAGTATTTACACTTTGTTACTTGACACCTATGGCAATTGGATATCGGAGTTTCAATCCATTCTTAATTTTTGCTGCTTACTTGCTCTTTATTTGCTCACAAATAACATACAGTACATCTATAGCTGTAATAATTTTGGGGGTTTTTTTTATATTTATGCCAGGGCTACAGCATTCACTGAGATCGCAAGATATATTGTTGACTCATTCAACAATTGAGTCGGATCCGTATTGGTTATTGGCCGATACGCTTAGACCAAGCATCGGTATCAAATTTGAAAGAATTGGATCATTGCATCTCTAATTAAACCTCACTTCTACATATAGACACAATAAAATATCTTAAATAGGATGTTAAGCTGAAAGTAAAGCACAGGAAAGTGTTTCTTGGTTGAACTCTGTGCTGGTGAAAACAGATTGTGACGGAGATTAACGACCTTTGCGGCTGACACCTTTGTGCACACCTGCAGTGGAGAAAGTTGTGTAGGCTTGTGTTAATCTATGACAGATAAAAGAGGTTTCTTGACTAACTTAGGTTTGTCAAGTCTAGGAGTAACATCACTCCCTACTTTTACATTTACTGACGTTAATCCCCAGAATAAAGAATAAAGCAAAATCGCATCAGTCACAGACAAACTCCAGTTCTAACAGAGACTTACTGCTTTTAAGATAGCTTTGTTGTTCAGTTATTTTCTATCCGTTGAGTCTGCCGTGCAGTAAATTGATCAAGTGAATGAATGATAAATATTTTATTATAAAATATATTATTGTGCACTGCTTTAAAATAACCTCTTGTAGGTAGAACCTTTACATAGATTTTGTTTTCTAAATATTTAGAAACTATTTTTACTTCCCCATGTTGTTATTTTATTTTTTTTAGATTTTTCCTACAATATTTTGTTTTGTTGAATACCAGAATTGGTAGAAATGTATACTTTTCTGTCCGTATACCAGGTTTCTGATTTAACATTCTTATTGAGTAGCCTTGAGAAGAAATATGTGATGAGGAATAAAAAAAAGAATTTTCCAATATTTAGTATCTTAAATGTAATAGACAGATACGATTTAATACTTTAAATCTAACATCTATCAGGCTGTGGAAGCAGGTAATGCAGACAGGTGGAGGTAAGCAGAATATTGAAAAAGGCTTTGATGAAATACTAAAAACAAACTTACTGATGACCGACATAGGTGGACCCAAATAGAACACTGTTGGAATTTCATCCTTATTCAGAACACCACTACACAACATGGATTAAATTCCTTTAAATTCTTTTGTGTTTACAAAATGTTTTTTTTTGGAAAAAAATAAAAATAGGTTACCATTTTTTAAGGAATAATATGTCAGGTTGTGTGGAGGTTTTGAGGACCCAGATGCATAGATGAGTTCTTGCAGTTTTCAATGAATCAACACAGGTAAAAGAGGCAAGAATCCAAAATCCAACTTAAAATGTAAAACTTAACCAGAGCCATGGAGACAATAGTGTAAAGAACACGTGGAGTCAGGGAAAGGCGAGGAGATACGAGGTCCCAGCACTGAGGAACTGCACAAGGACAGTATTTAAGGGAGACAGAACAAAGAGAGGACTAATGAGCTGATTGGGAGCAGGTGTGAAGAGAGGAGTCTAGAAAGGAGCTAGGGAAAAGAGACCAACACAAGAGGGTAACAGAGGGCAACAAATACAAACCTAAGAACTGAAATATATCCAGCAAACACAACAAGATAGGAATTAAACCAATAAAACTAGAAAGCATGGAGCAAAGTAAAACTGAATAGTCAAAAGTAGTGATGGTGAGATGAAGCCTCATGAGGCATTGAACCGTTTGGCCAAATTGCTTCAACGATCCCCACAGTTCATGAGGCTCCATGTGAACATGTCACCACCTACTGGTGGAGTGCAGAACCACAGTTTGTAATAAAATCTGTGATTTTTTTTTTGGAATTGTTTTTCTTTTTTCCACCTTTTAAGTTCCCTTGAAATTGTTAATGGTTGGTGTGTATAATAAAATCTTTTGTAAGTTTTTTTTTAAGTGTAAAATTTCCTAGAACACTCATTTAAGGTGCACAGTTTTTCTGCCATTTTAGTCAAATAAACTTTTTTTTTTTGTTTCAATCAGGTTGGAAGTTGTGTTCAGCCAATCTTTTGACTAAACCGACCTAATTTACCCAATCTATATATTTACTCGGCCAAAACAATGCAAATTAGTCTCATCAGCCAAAATAATTAAGTTTAATCGCAACTTTCAAAAGAGAAAGACAGGTCTTGAACTGTCAATCTCTAGAGTGAGAGGCTGTCTCTTACAGACAACGCCACTCATGTAGATAGTTTGAATTAGGAGAAAATACTTCTCAACACTGACGTGTTAACACTGACTTTGTTCAGCGGTTTGCTCAAATTTTGATCATTACATTGTTTATTCAAACCAAATTAGCTTTAAGCAACTACATTGGTTGGAAAAACAACCAATTTATTCTTGGAATCTATCCAAACTTTATCCAGCTAAGAGCAGCTCTCCTCCAAATTCCAACATCTTGACTGAACACTGAGGCTGTTTAGATGCCTGTCAAAATTCTTGCGCTTCCCGAACCACTTACTGAAGCGGTCACGTGGTATCAAGGTAGCGAGGCCTCGGATGTCATAAATTTTGGCCCCTCCTCTAAATGAATCACGCCTCGACACACGCTTCGGGGAAACGCCCCCTCCATTACTCGACACACGCCTCGAAGCCTCGGCTCATCTCATTACATCACTAGTCAAAAGAAAACATAACAGAACCAAGACCGTGACATAATAACTTTAAAGATTTAGGCCTAAACTTTTAAATCCAGCTCCGTAAAAACTTAAGCCAACTCAATACATTTTAATGTAAGTTGTATATTTGCTCAAACAGAAAAAAAAAACGCTCAACACGATCTTCTCTTGTGCACCAGATGGGAAGATAGTTTTATTAACAGCCGTCCTGAATCACAAACACATTTCCAGAAACCTTCAAACATTTAGAACAGAGACTGTATATTTTATACCTTTCCTTAAGCACATAAACATTCTTGGTCAATGAGCTTTTTTCATAAACACCTTGTTACTCCAGACACCCTCCTTTTACTGTAACTGGAGTCAGGTCCATGAGATAGATTGAACTGTTTACCATTTCTTCATACTAAACACACACGTATAACTGAACTGATTTTATCCAGTCAGATGTAGCAAAGATCACAACACTTTGGCAATAACAGAGCCTCATATGTTTCATAACCTTCTTTAGACGGTCAACTCATAATTTTTTCGTCATTATCTACTTGAGAAAATTTTTTGTTTTTTTAAACAACATTTTATGTAATTTATGTCTAAGAAAAAGAAAATATTGGATGTATTTTTTATGTAAATGATGATCATTGTGGCATGTAATGATGAAATGCTACAAAGTTTCCAAACTGATAAAAAAAAAAAAAAAATAGAACTAAAAAAATATAAATTGTTCCTTTACTGTGATTATGTTGTGGAAGTTTAATGTACATTTAATTATTAAAAAATATAACTTTTCAAACTTTCCTTTTAATATATTTAAAATATATATATTTGGTTCTTTAATATTATTATCCAAAGTTATTAGGGTTCATTGCTGAAGGTCCAGAAAGCCAATTGCAAATTGTAGATCCTGGTTTAGGAGACCAGAATGGAGAAACTAGAAGGTAAACAATGAGGAATACAGTCCATGTTTTGATTTAAAACTCTTTATAGGGCACTCAGTGAAATACTTTGAAATCCAAAAAAAAAAAAAATGAAATCCATGAAAAACACTCTGACAGTGAAAGAAACTTTTTTTTTTGGTACAACATAATCTTAGAGGCATTAGTACCGATACTGGTACTTAGATTTTTTAGTTTATAAACCTAAATATAATTTTTAACTAGGCTTATTAACT